AAGTGAAATAAGTCAGTCGGAGAAAGAGAAATACCATATGATCTCGCTTATATGTGGAATCTAAGAAACTGAATGAATGAGTAAAGTAAACAGAAATGGTCTCAGAGATACAGAGGAACAACTGATGGTTGCTAGATGGGAGGGAGGTGGGGATGAGGGAAAAAGGGAAGGGGTTAGACAGCATAAATACGTAACTACAATGTTGCCACAGGGACATGAAAGACAGTTCGAGGAATATAATTAATAATGTTTTATTATTAATTGTGGGGAAGTGGGGTGGTGGATTGGGGGAGGGGGGTTGTCACTTTGAGGGGTAAAATATAACTATTGCACTGTGTTTTACAGCTGAAGCTAATTTTTAAAAAATGTATGTTTCACAATAAAATAAAAAAGTAAATAAATTTAAAAAAAGTATTTACTAAGTGCAATGTTTCTACGAACTGTGCAATGGCTTAAAGTCCTACTTGTGTGCATGATACAGCTCCCTTCTTCATGAAACTCACAGTCTAGTGGGGGAGTCAGATCAGTAAACAGGGTATAACTGTCATAAACCCAAGTGTTGTAACAGGAGAATAAGACAGGAGGAGAAATGAGCAGAGAGGAGTGACATGTCACCTAGCAGCACCTATCACTTTTTATTAGCATTATTATTTTTTAATTATTATTATTTTTAAAGATTTTATTGGTAAATTGGGGAAGGGTAACAGACAAGTTGCTGTCCTTTCGTTCTTCAGTCTAGTTGTGGAGGATGTCACTTCACTGGCCCATGTTGGTATCATTATTGTGCTCTTCCCGGGTGAGGCAGTCATTCACTGGCCATTGGACAGCTGCTCACAGTGGCTCACAGCAGCTCCTGAAAGCTCACACCAGCTGTTGACCAGCCCCACTGCAGCCTACACTGTCGCCGGTGACTCATGGCAGCCCTGCTCCAGCTTGAGCTGCTGTTCACCATCTTAGCTGTAGAGGGCGCAACGTCACTGTTCCTAATGTGAGATCTGAACTGGAGCCCTGCTAGTCAGTGCTGGCATCCCAAGTCAACTCTTAACCAACGTGCCATTCAGCGGCCCTTTTTTTAAATTAGTAACCGAAGTCCACACTTTATTCAGATTTACTTAGTTTTTACATAATGTCCTTTTTCTGTTCCAGGATTCCATCTAGGATATCAAATTTTATTTAGTGCCCATGTCTCCTGAGGCTCCTCTGGGCTGTGACAGTGCCTCAGGCTTTCCTTGTTTCTGATAACCTTAAATTTTAAGAAGCACTGGTTGGGTGTTTTGTAGGATGCCCTCCACTGGAATGTGTCCGTTTTTTCCCTCATAGTTAGATAGGGGTTATAGGTTTTGGGGAGGAAGACCACAGAGATAAATTACCATTTTCATTAAATCAAATCAAGTATATATAATATCAACAAGACTTATCACTATTGATGTTGATCTTGATCGCCTGGCTGAGGTAGTGTCTGTCAGGTTTTTCCACTATAAAATTACTCTTTCTCTTCCACACTCAACACTGTACTCTTTGGAAGGAACTTACTCAGCAAAGGTAACAGTTAATCAGTAGGGAGTTGTACTGTACCTCCTTGAGGGTGGAGTATCTACATCCATTATTTAGTATTCTTCTGCACGAGAGCTTTACCTATTTTTCATTTTTTTAAGAATTCAACTATTTTTTGCAGTATGAACTCACGGATATTTGTTTTATACTGTGCATTAAAATCAAAAGATACTTTATTTTGTGTCTCAAATTGTTTCAGCTTTAGACCTTGGGAGTTTTTACTGGCTTGTTCGCCCCTTTGATATATACCCCAATCAATGTGGGCTGTTTTGTTTTGTTTTTCATTTGAGTACTACCTTACTTTCTGGAACTACAAGATGCTCCAGTCTCATCTTGTATAACCCCCATCCCAGTACTAGAATGAACCATTTCTCCAAAGATCTCTGGTTTCTTTTATTAGAAACGGAGAACTGAGTGCTGAGCATTAAGTACTATAGTTTTCACATATATCTCTCTCTCAAACTACACTGTGAGCTATTTTGAGGCAAGAACCATATTTATCTCTCTATCCTCAGCGCCAACAGATTGTCTGACAGGGTCGATGTTCAGTAAGTGCCAAACTAAACTGAACCAAAGGACATGAAACTAAGACAGGGAAGAGTTCAGACCTTGGCTACTTAGCCAAGCAAAATGGAGGGGAGAGATGATGAAAAAAGTTAAGATATTCTTAAGGACTGGTATGTTCCGGATTGTATTTGTAATTGTATTTGCCCTCTAAGCATATTTATGTATGTTAATAATAGTAAAGGCTGACAAATACTGATTTCAGACTCAGTTTATTGTTTTAATTGGAAAAATATCAGATCCAGTTGGAATACTTGACTTTTTTCTACTTACCTAAATCAAATAAGAGAATCTGGTAGATTCCAGGGACATCTTCAACCCTGGAACCACCATGACAGCTGCTGTAAATAAACTGTAAAGGGCCCCAACAGACTCCAGAATTGAGTTGGTAGTCATAAAAGACAAGGCATCTCTGTAGCAAAGACTGTTTAAATATGGGTTTGAGTAAAAGTTTTTACGTATTTGCTTGAACATTTGCCTTCAGAATAAAACTTCTCCAATGCCCTTACATCTTTCTAGAATAAAGAAAAAGGGGTCACAACCCTTCCTTCAAACAACCTTCAATACATTGGTAGCCAGTTTATGGAAGTTGCACCTGAGCCAGATTAATCAGGTTTTGTTTAGGAAAAGCCCATAGGCGATTTTTTTGAAGAGAAATGTTGTTTGCACAAAATCACTTTGGAATGTATTACATTCATTTATTATTGAATATACTCAATGTGCCTGTGAGGGAAATTAGAATTATCATTCTCCTCAAATCTCAGCTGGGGGAACCCAGACACATAGAGGGCTTGCCCAGGGTCACTAACAAGCTTTGTGTGAACTAAGATTAAATTAGATCATATGTGACTGTGTGTACAAAATACTTCAGAATATTCTTGTTCTGAAGATGGCAAAACAAACAAACAAAAATCAGTTTTCTTACCTTCTAACTGAGCAGCAGATCCTATTTTGCTCAGTGAGGCTGTTCTTAAACTTTGTGCACTGGCCTTTAGAAAATGGAATAGCCCAACATGCCAAATTCAAATCTGATTAATGTTATTTTTTTGACAGCCAACAGCCAGGAAGGTCTCCTATATTGATATGTAATTTCTTGCCATTTCATGTCATTTCCCAAGTGCACTTCAGCTCTTTTGAGATTGGTTTCTTTCTACTTTCTGAAAATATGCCATACCTGAGAAACAAAAACCACTGGACTACATTCCAATTTGTTCTAATCCCTTATGTCTAAATGTATATTGCAATTTGGGATATGTAAAGATTCCTTTTATAACTTCAGTGTTTAGATTTACTGTCACCTTCTGGTTAGTTTTACATTCAAGCAATGCCCTTCAACTTAACAAAGATCACTTCATTCATGCTGGTTAGAATCACATAGATTATTAAATGGGCAATTAATGCTTATAATTAATACTGTGCAACACTTTACCAGTAAGCAATTTGACAATCAACTCAATTTGCTTAAGAAATCAGTTATGCCAAAATAACAAGGCTGCACTTGTGCACTGGCATCTCCCAAATGAAATCCAAATTAAAAATCCTATCAGTGCCATTGTGATGACAATTGGCATTTGGAAGTGAACAAATTCAATTTTCTCCTTGGTAATTTAGAACAGTTTGACAAGTATAATGCATAAACAAATTGAATAGAAATACTCATTATGATTAATTTCAGAGCTATATGTCATTGTTGGTAAGTAGTCAGTTTAAAGTTTTTCTGTTATATCTTTTTGGTGGGAAGAAATAGAAGCCATGAGGTCACATAAAAGAGAAAAGAGAATATCTTATTCAAGAAGGTCATTGTGGTTACTGTGTCTTAATACACTCACCAACTATATATCTGGGTCAAGGAAGATCACTCTATTACTTTTCTCTCTACCTGCAACTTAGAAACATTGAATCTATTTGAACTTAGACTCATTTGCAATATCATCTAAGAAAAACATAATGAGACCTAAGGCCTTGTTTTCCCATGAAGTACTGAACTGCCAGCTTTCACTTATCTTGTTTCCTTCTGGGTATATTCAAATCCTCCAGCAAATTCCGACTTAGTGGAACTCTCTTCTTTTGGAAGACACTTACCTGAGTCATAACTTCCAAGTTCAGTTTCACATTATTCCTTTAAGCTTATTTACGAAGTAAAATTTGCCTATGTTAACAGGAGGTGGCCTCTTAGACAAGAAGGGACATTAGGCAGCTGCCCATGTGATTTGCTTACCTATGTCTGGTATCTCTGTTTCTAGGATGCACAAAGTATCCATGAGTAGCAAGTAAAAGCAAATAGAGAGTCATCAGTATCATTAAACAAGTCAAATCTAACCAGATACACCTATTCCTAACTCAGCTTGTGGCTATTAGAGAGACACCATAGGGATCATTTAGTTAGATGTGCAAGTCAAAGTGGACCTAATCTCTTCTGGCTTCTCCTAATATGGTGTTAAGATAATTGAATACCTTATGTTGTGGGTGGGCAAAACTCTAAGGCGGTTTTTTCAAAAAGTTATCTCTGGACCATTTTCATCAGAATCACTTTGGGTTCTTGTCACATGTGCAGTTTCCTGGTGCTTTCCCCAGTCATACTGAATCAGAATTTCGAGGTGGGAGTGGGCCCTGGGAATTTTATTTTTAACAAACTCAGCTGTCCATTCTGACTCAGAATAAAGTTTAAAAACAACTGGGCTAGGGTTTAAAAAAGTAGCCACTGTAAAGGGTCTTACCATTCTAGACTCTGTTTTGCAAGCCACTTTATCAAAATGCAAAATCACTCTTTTATTATCAACTCTTGTGTGCAACGGGCATCCCAAATCTAGTCCTAAGCTACTTATATGATCTCAGACATAAGATAGGGACACCTCTTGTGCACATTAGAACATTACTTAGCAATAGCTAAAAAAATTAACATATTTAAAGTATAAAGGTTTTTCTCTTAGATTATGATGGAATATTCCTAGCATCAAAACTGCTGCATCAAAATAGCTTCAATAAAACATCATGTACACTCACTCTGGTCAGAATGGCTGTCATCAATAAATCAACAAACAACAAGTGCTAGCAAGGTTGTGGAGAAAACGAAACCCTGGTTCACTGTAGATGGGACTGCAGATTGGTGCAGCCATTATGGAAATCAGTATGGAGGTATCTCAAAAAACTGGAAATGGAACTACCATATGACCCAGCAATTCCACTCTTGGGTATCTATCCAAATAAACCCAAGATGCTAATTCGAAAAAGTATATGCACCACTATGTTTATTGCAGCTCAATTTACAATAGCCAAGACTTGGAAACAACCAAAATGTCCATAGGTAGACAACTGGATTAAGAAACAGTGGTACATTTATACAATGGAGTATTACTCCGCTATAAAGAAGAATGAAATCGTACCATTTTCAGCGATATGGATGGACCTAGAGAACATTATGTTAAGTGAAATAAGTCAGTCGGAGAAAGAGAAATACCATATGATCTCTCTTATATGTGGAATCTAAGAAACTGAATGAATGAGTAAAGTAAACAGAAGTGGTCTCAGAGATATAGAGGAACAACTGATGGTTGCTAGTTGGGAGCAGGGTTGAGATAAGGGAGAAGGGGAAGGGATTAGACAGCATAAATAGGCAACTATTATACAATATTGCCACAGGGATATGAAAGACAGTTTGGGGAATATAATTAATAATGTTGTAAATATTTTGTAGGGTGTCAAATGGTCACATGTCTTGTTAGGGAGACCACTTCATGGATAGAGTAGAGGCTTGATCACTGACCTGTACACATGAAGCTGATGTTGTATAATAGTGTATGTCAACTATAATTCTATATATATATATATATATATATATATATATATATATATATATATATATATATATATATATAGTCACAGGATGTGGGGTATAGAGTGGTGTCAATGGAATTGTAATAGATACATATAATATTGGGGCTGGGAGTGGGGCAGCAGATTGGGGGAGGGGGTTGTCACCTCGAGGGGTAAAAAGTACAGTTATTGCACTGTGTCGTACAGCTGCAACTAATTAAAAAATAAATTAAAAAAGAAAAACTAAACATCATGTACATCAACTACCAGGGCCTTGTGTCTTCCACCTATCCTCACTCCAAGGGGGCAACTGGGGTGGGCAAAACAGAATTGTCAGATCAGAAGAATCTGGGGTCCCATGATCTGTAAGCCTCTCAACACAGGGTATTTCACCCTGGGACCTGGTATGAAGGTTCTCACATAGGGAGCACAGTCTTTGACAAACTTGACTTTGGGTCAAATCTGGCCAGAATTAAAAGGCTATAATCATCTGTGAAATATAGTTGTTTAAATTTTAAAATGCTTTAAACCCAGCCCTTTATGTCATTTTGAAAACCATGAAGATAACAAATCTTTTTGTCTAAACTAGAAAATGTTCTTATTCTTCAGAATATCAGGAAAGAAAAGATACAAAATGATTTCATTCGAAGCTATCTGCTCTACTGATTCAACTCTAGTTAAAGGTAGTCCTCCTGGCATTTTACTAGTTTGACCATAGGTCCAGATCCACTGACTTTTCTGTTTCCCTGGCCTGCTTCAAAAGGGTAGGTATTATGTGGGTTGACACAAAAAGGTCAAAAGATGAGAATGGGGAGCTCTGATTAGAAATCTGGCCTCAGGGGCCAGCCGAGTGGCTCAGTTGGTTAAGAGCTCGCTCAAGAGTTTGAGCTCTGAGCAACAGCGGTTCGAGTCCAGCCCGAGCTGAGCAGCCGCTGAGCTGCCAACAGGTAGCAGGATGGCTCAGCAAAAAAAAAAAAAAAAAGAAATCTGGCCTCAGGCATTTGAACCTTTTTGAGTTTCTTTGTCTCTAGATACTTACTTGCTTTTGTGGCCTCTAAATTCCAGGGTGACTGTGCTTGAGGCTGGCTCTAATCACTGTTACATGGTTGATCCTCCTGAAGGAAGTTTAGTTGTGAAAGTACTAGAAGGACCTCAGTAAAATGATTTCATCCAGAACAGATTCTCATGGTACAGAACCATCTGTGTGGCTACAAAGGGTTTTGAAATTCTTAGGTGATGGCAAAGAGTGGGGAGAGGGATGGTTTGACTTTCTTGCAGCTGCTTCTGATCCTGCCAATAATGTCACTCTGAATTTGGAAAGACATCCCATATTATGTAGAGCAGTTTCTCTTATTAACATCTCAAGGGGAGGCAGTGAAAATGACAGAATTTATTTCCAGTGTGTGCCCTTGTTCTGTTTCAGAATTACTTTTAGTTAAAGATTTAAGATTGAGTCACCACCAGAGTCATGCTACTGACTTTGCTAGCAACTGACTCCAGGCTGAGGTGCCAGTGTGTGATCTCTTCACAAGGGCCTCAGCCATTTGGCAACTGACTGTCTTGAAGCTTGCTATGAGTTAGGAGGAGAAAGTAGTGGAATTGCAAATATTTTTAGAGCAAGAAATAATCCTGATGGTAGGGTCTTGAAGTTGATCTTTGATTTTGTTCAGGATTGACATGATTAAAAGGGCTATCTATTTTTCTTTTTTAGTTAAAACTTTTTATTGAGATATAATTCACATGCCATAAAATTCACCCCTCTATAAAGTACAATTCAGAAGTTTCTAGTACATTCATAAGGTTATGCAACCATTGTCATCATCCAATTCCAGAACATTTTCATCATCTCCTGAAGGAACCCCATACCCATTAGCAGTGACTCCCTATTCCCAGCCTCCCTTGGCCCAAGGCAATCACTAATCTGCTTTCCATCTCTATGGATTTACCTATTCTGGATAGTTCACATAAATGGAATCATATAATATGTATCCTTTTGTGTCTGGCTTCTTTCTCTTGCATAATGTTTGACCTATTCTTTTTTTTGTATTTTTTGTGACATGGAGGATAGAGAAAGAGAGGCTATGTCAATTTCGGAGTTGCTGTCTCGTGACTTGGTGTCATGAGAGTTTGCCTGGCCTGTTCTATCGTGGCTGTAACTCTTTACTTGTTCTTCATGCTGTTCTCAGCTTTTCTTTATGATTAGTCAGAAGTATTTGATGTTGAAGAATGGTCTTCCCTCCCTGCTAATCTTTCCATAGTAGTCTCCCTCTGAAGATCAAGTTCCCACTCCTGCCATTCACTGACTTCTTAGTGCTTCCAACTCCAAACTCCAGCAACCCTTATCTAAGACTATACTCCCCCATGTTCCAGTTCAGCACCTTTCCCTATCACAATTACCTGTGTTGTGTTTTAGGGCCCTGCTTTCAGCCAGCAATTCCTTTGAAAATCAACCTGACAAATGAATCCATGCTCAGAGACTAATGATGATTTTAGCTCGATGGGTCATTCTAAGGTTCTTGTGGTGAGGACTCTTAGAGATGCAATGTTTCAACTCAAAGGAACACATTTCTTAGAGTGGAAATATGGGGCCCTGTGCAAGGCGAGTGAAGATGTTTTTGGGTGAGATGGAAGGTAACTTTGAATGCCACTGCTAATACATGAGATCAAACTGGGGAAGTAACTGCCATATACATGTAGTGCTTCTCTATTTGTAGCTCCAGTGATACTGACAAGAGGATTGTTTTTAGTCATTTCTTAGATACTATCAGAGCTTTCAAAGTCTGGGTTCCATTTGTCCCTTCAGCAGAGAACTCTATAAGTTCCACTGCCCCTCAACATAACAGCCCCTAAATGGGTTCTATTCCAGTTCTACTCAATCCTTAGGCAATGATAGGAGTCAAGTCCTGAGGACAATATAGTAAATATTAACCAGTCACTGTAAAGGAAACAGTAAAATCTCAAGAGAAATTTTGATGTTACATTGACATTTGTTGAGTCTAAATTACTCAAAGTAATTTAGAATCATTTTCCAATCTCTTATTTTCTTCTTTCTTTCATTTTTAAAGAAAAGAAAAACCTGGAGAATAACAGCACCTTGAACAATAACAGAATGAGGCTTTTATAAACAATAAATCATTTCTAGTCATGCTTAATAGGTTTTTTAAAGATTTGTAATATTAGAAGATGAGAAGGGAGCAAGATGGATATTCATATTTGAATTCTTGCAAAACACTTGATGTGTCTCCTATTTTTACTTATAACTATCCCTGTTATTTTTAGAAAACTGAAAAGTGGCCCTAAGGCCATAATCAAAGGAAAACGAAATAAAGCTATAAGTGATGAGAAATAGTTGAAGAACTTGGGGATGTTTAGATTAAATAATTGAAAGTTCAGGAACTTATGATATCTGTGTTCACGTTTGTGAAAATTTCTCAGGTAAACAGGGAAGGGACTGCTTCAAATGCTAACATTTCCCACTACTGAGTGGATGTTTTATGAAGGCAGATTTTGGTTCAATATAAAGAAGAACCTTCTAATGGAGCACTCCAAATATACAAGGTGTAGTCCAGAGAAGTATTTAAGTTTCCTGTTATGGAAAGGGATCAAACAAAGTAGAGATGATTAACTGTCAGGGATGTGGTGGGCACTATGTTGCAACAGATACCTTTTACTTTGTGTTCTGCTCCTTCTGGCAATGCCTTGTCTCTTCATGTTATCTCATTCTTGCTTTTACCTTATCCACTAAGCAAACATAGAGATTAGAGGAGACTTACCTTAATTCCAAAATACTAACAGAGTTTCCTGAGGGAAATATTCGCCTTACAAAATTGAAGTCGCCAACATACACACTACCATCAGGGCCAGAAGCTAAGGCAACAGGAGCAAAGAGTTTGTTGTTGTGGGCTGGGCCATTGCAGTTGGTGCAGGCTACACTTCGTTGGTGTCCATTACCCATTATGGTCGATATGACTGGGGGCTGCTGGGAAATAAACATATTTTCTCCATTCCCTTTATGTATGATTCCTAGATCCAAGAGAAAAAAAAAGAATAAAACAAAAAAATTACTACACAATATTCTCAGTGATATTTTAATTTCACTCTCATTGATCAAAGCAGGAAGGAGCTTTGGCCTGGCAAGAACTTGACAATGAAACGCACTGCCCTTGGTTTTGTTTAAATGCATAGCCACTACAAATAGCAGCATAATGCTTTGCCTCATTTTGTCCATCTGTGAATTGAGGCAATACACCCAGTCCCTTTAATGCTAATTCTAAGTGCCTGAATAAAACATTTGATGGCTAACTTTTGATGATGTCATATTCACTTTGGGCTCTGTGAATCATATGTGGCTTATTTTTTCATCCCTGATGCCTGAAACACACTTGTCTGATTTCAAATTACCCTCAATATGCAACTGGTTCCTGAAAAGGAAGTATCAGTCAATTTTAATATTAACCTTAACAAAACACAATAAAAAAGTTATCTACATCTGTGAAAGGAAGTCGTACTGCTAGAACTCACTTCAAAGATATAAGAAAGGGACTTGAATTTTCCACTGTCTTGGACCATATCTCATTATCATCAGTGCAGGGAATAGAGATACTGACTTATGAAAATGCTGGAAAGTACTGTGCAGTCATTCTCTTTGGGTAATCCCATCCATTCCTGTAAGAAATTTCTTACAGGAATGGATGGGATTTCTATATGCTAAAATTTATTTCTGTCTACAGTTGTCACCTGACATACAATTTCCTACTATATCTCTTTACTTGGATCTCCCCAGGTAGCTCAAACTCAACAAGTTTAAAACCAAACTCATCATTTTTATGCACCCCTGACCAAACACTGATTTCCTTCCTGTGTTCCCTACTCATGAGTGGTATTGCCAAGTGTGTATTCATCTAAGTTGGAAATGTAGGTATCACCATGGTTCTTCTTTTCCTCCTTCTCTACACCTAATTACTAACTCTCCATTGAGTCTATCTCCTAAAATAGGTTGAATCAGTTTTGTCGTCTCCATTCCTACCTTTACTGCTCTAGTTCAGTTTTTCTTAACTTCTTGGTCTCCTATTCTCCATGTATACCTCTCTCTAAAACTCCTGCCACATAAATTATTTTTGTCTGTGGCATAAAACTATTCAATAGCTTCATATACTCTATCAGATAAGGAGCATATTACTTACAATAAATGCATACAAGGTGTGATTAAACAACATGGTGAATATTTAAATAAAACAAAAAATTGTTACCCCAACCATACGCTGCCTCCAAGAGACACATGTCAGCTACAATGACAAATATAGACTCAAAGTGAAAGGGTGGAAATTGACACTCCAAGAAAATGGTATTCAGAGAAAAGCAGGTGTAGCTATACCGATATCAGATAAAACAGACTTCAAGATAAAAAAGGTAACAAGAGACAAAGATGAACATTTCTTAATGACAAAGGAACTGTACAACAAGAAAACATAAGATTTATCAATATTTATGCCCCCAACCAGGGACCACCGAAATATATAAGGCAACTACTAACAGAACTAAAGGAAGAAATTGACCAAAACCCAATTATAGTAGGGGACCGAAATACATCATTGACAGCTATGGATAGATTATTCAAACAGGAAATAAATGAAGAAATATCAGCCCTAAATTACACATTAGATGAAATGGACATAATTGACATTTATAGAGCACATCATCTTAGAACATCAGAGTATACATTCTTTTCTAGTGTGCATGGAACATTCTCAAGGATAGACCATATATTGGGACATAAAACTAACCTCAACAAATTTAAGAAGATTGAAATCATGCCAAGCATATTCTTTAATCAAAAGTCTTTGAAATTGGAGATCAACTGCAAAAAGAAAGCAGGAAAAACCACAAACCTGTAGAGACTAAACATTCTATATACTTTTAAAGAATGACTGGGTCAAAGAGGAAATAAGAGGAGAGATCAAAATAAGAAAAGAAACAAATAGAAAAAAATAGAAACAAATAAGAATGAAAATACATCCTACCAAAATTTTCGGGATGCAGCAAAAACAATTTTAAGAGGGAAATTTATATCATTACAGGCCTACCTCAAGAAACAAGAAAAATCCCAGATAAATGACCTCACATTACACCTTAAAGAACTAGAAAAAGAAGAACAAATAAAACCCAAAGTCAGCAGAAGGAAGAAAATAATAAAAATCAGATCAGAACTAAATGAAATAGAGAACAAAAAGACAATTGGAAAAATTAATGCAACAAAGACCTAGTTCTTTGAAAAGATTAATAAAATTGACGACTATTGGCTAGACTCACTAAGATAAAATGAGAAAAGACACAAATAAACAAAATAAGAAATGAAAGAGGGGAAGTTACCAGGGATGCCACAGTAATACAGAGGATTATCCAAGAATACTATGAAAGGCTATATGTGACCAAATTAGAAAATATAGAAGAAATGGACATATTCTTAGAAACATATAGGCTTCCTAGGCTGAATCTCAAAGAAGTGGAAAATCTAAATAGATTGATAAACAGTAAGGAAATTTAGTCAGTCATCTGAAACTTTCCCAAAAGCAAAAGTCTAGGACTAGATGGCTTTACTAGTGAATTCTACCAAACACTCAAAGAGGATCTAATACCTGTCCTACTCAAACTCTTCCAAAACACTGAAGAAGAGACAATACTCCCAAACTTATTTTATGAGGCCAACATTAGTATAATACCAAAACCCGGTAAGGATAATAAAAAAAAGAAAATTACAGACCAATATCTCTAATGAATACAGGTGCAAAAATCCTAAATAAAATTCTAGCCAGTCGAATGCAACAATGCATTAAAAAAATTATACATCACGACCAAGTGGGGTTCATCCCAGGGGGCACAAGGATGGTTCAACATATGCAAATTGATCAATGTGATACACCACATAAACAAAATAAAGGACAAACATCATATGATTATATCAATAGATGCAGAAAAAGTGTTTGACAAGATACAACACCCACTTATGATTAAAATGCTTAAGGAAAATACCACATAATAAAGGCCATATATGACAAACTTGTAGCTATTATGATAATTAATAGTGAAAACCTGAAGTCATTTGCTCTACATTCAGGAACATGACAGGGCTATTCTCTAATACCTCTGCTTTTCAACATAGTATTGGAAGTCCTAGCCAGAGCAATCAGGCAAAATGAAGGAATAAAAGGCATCCAAATAGGGAATGAAGAAGTTAAATTGTCACTTTTTGCAGATGACATGATGCTACATATAGAAAATCCTAAAGACTCCACCACAGGGGGCTGGTCGAGTGGCTCAGTTGGTTAAGAGGCCACTCAAGAGTGCGCGCTCTGAGCAACAGCAGTTCGATGCCTGGCCTGAGCTGAGCTGCTGCTGAGCTGCCAATAGGTGGCAGGATGGCTCAGGTAAAAACAAAAAACAAAACACTCCACCACAAAGCTATTAGAAACAATAAATGAATACAGAGAAGTTGCCAGCTACAAAATCAATGTAAACGTCCACTGCATTCATATATGCTAACAATAAAACCTCAGAAAAAGAAATTTAAAACCCCCCCACAATTCACAAAAAAATGAAAATGGACCACCTACTTACTCCACATACAAGAACAAATTCAAAATGGATTAAATACTTAAATGTAAGACCTGAAACCATAAAACTCCTAGAAGAAAAAATTGGGAGTAAATTTGCAGACATCACCCTCAGTAATATTTTTAC